TTGTGCTTGTTCGCGGTGTTTGACTGTATTGATCTGCATGGTTTCTGAACTGAGGAGCAATACCATGTGATTTACAGGTAAATGCGACATACTTGAATCAACTTCGTCCAATCGTCATACCATAGCCGCAAAATTCACGGTCTTTTCATTCTCTGAATTGCACAATAGATCTGTAATATCCTTTTGCTGAAGATTTCATGATCTACGTCAAAGTGATGTTCATATGTCTGATTAGAGGCATTAGAAATTGGCTTGTGCTTGGTGCTGACTAAAATGTAATACAATCAATTATGTGGTGGGTAAGGGCGAATTTCCAGGCGCACTCATCGGAGGGCAGAGAGGGAAGCCTCGCACGTTGAGGGATAAAACTGCACCGGATCACCATGCTGTGTCCATAGTTACCACGTTGACTGATTGCTGTCTGTTTCTGGGCTGGTGGCACCGAAGAGCCGTCGATGGATCCTTCATTCCATTGATATGAGCAACTTTCGCACAGCGAATTGAATTTCAACGTTTCTCCTTCTCGAACTCATTGCCCCAGAACTCCTTAACAGCGACATTCCTCCATTATTGCTTAGATCAAAGGCTTTCTTTAGTTTGATATCATAAACTGACTAATCAGAACTACAACTTTGACATATTGCACTTTATTATCAGCATAAAAACATTACGACAGGACTTAAAGGCGAAAGTTCGGCGTAACTTTCTGTTGACCTCATCATGAGTAGAATCTTCAGGATTTCATTAGCATTCAGAATGAATAATCATATCACTGATTTTAAATATCATATCTTCACATTTATTTTTTAACCCAATTGATCATTTTTACGGCCGACGTACAATTCTCATTTATTTACTTATATCCAAGAGAAATTCTTCCACGTTCCAGAGCAACCTATTGATTTTCATATTGACCAAAATTACTGACTTCCGGTTGCGTGATGTCTTCAATAGAATACCTTGGCATTTGCATAAAGCCCAGAAAAAAACTCCCTAGTGATCAATGCTTACTGAATATACGCATTGTCAGGGAGGCAGGCAATTTTTGATTTGAATGACCACACATTGGATGTCGGCCAAGAGTGCATTCAGAAATAATGTCGTATTCATAATCCTGACTGGACTTCAGTCATCAGTTGTGCAGTAGATGACCACTACATCAGTGGTCAGTCTGAATCCCTGAATCCAATGCAGCAATGACAATGTGGTACAGCGAAACTCCCTACACGGAATTCGGTTGTGGTGCTGATGCAAATGGTCTGAACGGTCATCACTGTTCGTCAAGACTTGTTTCAGGGACATTTTTCGTCTTCATGCTGGATGCTCTGAAGTCCACGTAATCCAAATCCTCAAAGTCGCAAATTTTCTGCTGTCCATCTTCTATTTAAGTCCAGCTTATTTTGCTCTGTTTGTAGCTAAGCAATCGTACGTCCTTCTGCCATACAAATCTGAGTGATTCCAACAGAGAGATT